CTTTTAATTATATGTTAATTTTAAATATAAAAATTGAAATTGAAGATTAAAGATTAAAATTTGACTAATCAGGACGAAGAACTTTTACATAGCACAGTATAACAGTATATTTTCGATTATTAAAAATTACCTTTATAGCAATAAATATGATAATATAAAAGATTATCTACCAGTATTAAAACGAGCTTTTATAAGATATAACACATAAGTGCCATCTTTAACACACTTAGAATGAAAAAAAGCTGAAAAATAAAGATATATATTGTTACGTCCTACATCTTACACAATTCTTCTTTGCGCAACTTTCTCACGATCAGTCGGTAAAACTCAAAGAGATCCCCAATGGAAATTTGACCTTTACAAATAAAAATAAAACCATAAAACTCACTAAGATTATTTCAGACACATATCGAAATTTCCGATAAGATAAATTGTCCTTTGAGTTTCCGGCGATGATCACGTCCGCACCAATAAAATTTTATAGCGTTTACACTAAATACCACCACCAGGTACCTCGCCTTATTCCCGCCTAAGTTCGATTTCCTATAGGAAATCTATCTATTACTTTCTTCCACCCTAAGATTTCCTCAAAGATCAAAAATCTTAAGGAATACCTCCCTTCCAAAACCAAAAAATCTGAGTATAAAAGGAAGGGACCCAGCGAGAGTCAGCGAGTTTTTAGTTAGAGAGTCAGCCAGTTAGTAGAGAGAGACTTTTAATATTACCCGAACAGTTTGAATATTGGGACTTAGAAATAATTCGCAACATTTTTAAGTGACTGTAAGAGTTTGTAACAAAATAGATTCAGTAAAGTGTCTGTTAAAACTATTCGATCTTTTTTCTCGTGTACAACCTACACCCTACCTAACACCCAACCACCCAGTTATCTCCCTGAATCAGCATTCAGAACTACTTGCTCCGGTGCGGACCACCGCACGTTGTACTTGGTTTCTGTATCCCCGCTAATCGTAGTGCGGACCACCGCACGCTTTTAGCCTAGAATTTTCGGATTGACAACATTATCCTTCATGCCCAAATCTAAGACGCGACGTAGGGGAGTAAAATAGCGTGCGCGCTAATTACTTCTCCAGTACACGAGACCGGTTACGGAAGACAATTCAGAATACATTGGTGTTCAAAGAAACTATTTTGACTACGAATACGAGGATCTGTGCAACGCTTCCGATCAGTTTTCCCGGCGCGAAGGATATAACACTCATCGGCCGTGGCCCTTCACTTTCATCCCCCTCAGCTGCAATCAGTCTCCGATCGACCCAGTGCGGATACCACTAACTGACCCCAGGAGGATCAAGTACACCTCAAGGCCGACTACACCTGGACTTTAGAATTGGAGATCTAAATACATTTCAAAGACATCCAAGTAGTAAGTCTAATTTTCACAATCACCTCTCTCTCTCTCAAACACCTCTCCTTTTGAAAATTGCACGAAGTTCCGCCCTTAGTAAAAGGAGTTAATTCTCTTGACCAGAAAAGGGAACCACGAACGATTGGTTGAGGCCTCTAACAGCGTAATATCGATCCTTACGATCGTTGACCTGTTCTCAGCCAAGGGAAATCGTTCGGCTCGCGCGGTCGCCTCCTCTCATACCGACCACCGAGCAAACACCACAAATTTATACTTTTATTGTTGCGTCCGTCCGTCCGTATACCTGATTACGCCCCTTTCCCTCCAGGTTAGGACGTAACAATATATATATATATTAACTTACTCAACGCTGTCAATTTCATTTATATTTTCTTCATTAGCACTTCCACTTATATAAGACATCTGACAGTTCTTTTGACTTTTATCAGAGCTTTTATTTGTATCAAAATTTTCCATCGATAAACAGCGTTTTTTACTAACCGTAGATGTCGATGGTTTTGATATTGAATAATTTTTATCTAAAATCAATTTTTGTATGAATAATCCTTTAAATGATCTTTGCGGTTAACCTAAACAGTTCAAAATTGTTTTTCAATTAAACTATTATAATTTACATTCAGATCCAATAAAACGGATTCAAAATATTCGAATATATGTTTCTAGATTTGAGAACAAGTTTACAGCTTCAGAACATTTATAAAAAAATAGTAACTTTATTTACAAATAATAATACAGTATATGTACGTATCTTGTTTCCGAATTGCACGAAATCTTTTAACACGCATTCGTGTTAATTTCTGATTTCTTTCTGTATGATCTATTCTGTATGATTGTTACTTTATTTCAAACACAATATACACGATACGCACTACACGATATTGTAACGTAACTAAATTAAACTGTTTATTAAACTCTTGATGTCAACTAACTTAACTATCATATAATGGTTAGGTTAGGGTTAGGTTAGGTTCATAAAATGGTCATGCGCACATTCGATAAAGAATTTTAGAGAAAACCTGATCAGGGTACTGTTAGGATTGCCTGAATTTGGCGCTAATAGAGCAGCCATTATCCGGCGTTGACAGAGCCGGATCAGGCTTTCTACAATAAGGCATGCCGGAACATTACCTGATAGCGCCCGGAATAAAATTCAGGCAAACCGTAATCATTTTCTACTCAGGAACGTGTAAAGAACGCGAAGCGGTGTAACTGTTACTGCGGTGCGAAAAAAGCGTTAGCAGGGTCGATGTTGGGCCCTTTATACTCGGAAAAACGGGGCTTTCGATCGCGAGTAACCAATCGTTTTGAGTAATTTAAAAACGCTCAAGTTGACCCCCGCAAATTGTGGTTTATTGGTTACTCGTTTATAGATGTTAAAAACGTTGTTGACTTGCGCGCAGGCGGAATTGGCCATCGCATTGGCTCACGGAAATTGTGACGCGTTAGTGCGCGCACGCGCGAGTGCAATTCGTGGTTTGCCGTTGGGCAGCAGACGGTTGAATGTTTATTGATAAGTTTATTGATAAGTAATTCGTCGTTTCCCTTTTTTTTGTCTAACAAGGGGAGGACGCGGACTTCGGGTCACCGATTTCAAAGAAATTTTTATATGGTATAGTACTCTATTAGAAGAATACTTGAGTAAAAGGATAGGGCGCAACGCTTAGCCGTTTTCGAGAAAAATCGATTTGAAGTTTATGGCGTCCCTTATATCCCGGTCCTGTTGGATCGGTTGTCGAGATGGCGGCGTAGCTCGGGCACTTAGGCCCTGGGCTATCACCCTGTCGACCTGGGTTCGATCCCTGTTTGTTATACTTTTTTTTTTGTTTATTTTATTTATTCTAGCGAATATTTATTCATTATATTATTATAATTAAATAAATTATTTTAATTAACAATTTTGTTTTTTTTTAATTTGCACTTTTACTACTATCATATAAAAAATAAAGTAAAAAAAACATCTACGATTTAAATAATATTATAATTATTATTTAATACCAGAAATATTTTATTAATCATAATTTAATTTGGTGTGTAGGAATATACGTTACAGAAGGGAAGTAGTCTGAAGGAGAGCTAAAAACTGTTAGCAGTTACCTGATGTGAAAACATTAGGTATACAAATATTATGGTTGGAGCAATAAATAACTCAACGAAGTTGAGTGAAAAATTACATACCAAATTAAATTATAATTAATAAAATATTTCTGGTATTAAATAATAATTATAATATTATTTAAATCGTAGACGTTTTTTTTACTTTATTTTTATATTATAGAAGTAGTAAAAGTGCAAATTAAAAAAAACAAAATTGTTAATTAAAATTAATTTATTTATTATAATAATATAATGAATAAATATTCGCTAGAATAAATAAAATAAATAGAAAAGAAAAAGTAATAATAGACAGGGATCGAACCCAGGTCAACAGCGTGATAGCTCAGAGCCTAAGTGCCCGAGCTACGCCGCCATCTCGACAATTGATCCAACAGGATCGGAATATAAGGGACGTCATGAACTTCAAATCAATTTTTCTACAAAAACGGCTGAGCGTTGCGCCCTATCCTTTTACTAAAGTACTCTTCTGATAGAGTACTATACCATATAAAAATTTCTTTGAAATCGGTGACCCGAAGTCCGCGTCCTCCCCTTGTAAGTGTTTATTGGAGGGCGTCATGCTTTAATAAGCATGTAACTGTTTTTTTTTTTGATGATTGGGAGCGTGGGTTACAATGAATTTTGAGTTTCTTGTCATGCTTGGTACGCGAGATGCATTTTGCGATCTCGAACACAAAGCGAAAACATGCGAAATTGAAAAATAATGGTTCGAGTTTGCGACGGTGCACGACGTAAACGAAAAAATTGTAGCTTATTGGGATCAAAAGCGTATGAAAGTACAGAGTCTCCTTTTTAAAATGCTTTTTTATGCATCTCGATACGATGATTTGTCGCTGAGAGATTCGCATTTGAAGTAAGAACTTGTCTTTTTCTTCAAATGCGAATCTCTCGGCGAAAAATCATTGTATCGAGATGCATAAAAAAGCATTTTAAAGAAGAGATTTTGTACTTTCATACGCTTTTGATCCCAATAAGCTACCATTTTTTGTTTATACCGTGCACCGTCGCAAACTCAAACCATTATTTTTCAATTTTGCATGCTCTCGCTTTGTCATCCGCCATTTTCAATTTTATCATGCAACATTGAAATAAATCAATTCTTAATGTAGAGATTCTAAGCTTTATTTTCATATTTTATAGAATTTTCTCTCTTTATTATTTACGAAGTTATCGTCAGTTAAAATTTGATGAATTTTTCCCACATTTTCAGTGTATCGCTTTTTTTTCGGGTGAGTGTATAAACTAAAGAATAAAATTTAAAAATAATAACTTATATCTCTATTTTAGTATTTGGCTAAGACGGGATTAAGAAATGAGAAATAGTATATTATATTAATTAATAATATAAATATTCTTTATCAAATAAAAGTTTTTTAATACTAAATCAATAAAATTAATATAATGATAATGTTAATATTGAATATACCCTGAAAAATAAAATAAGAATAAAGAATAGTACAAATAATAAAGATAATTTTTATAAAACTTGTCTTGTAGGCTTAAACAAATATTTTCTCACTTTTCAGAATGAAACCTTGCAAAGACAAGATGCTTATTTTGAGAAAATAACAAAAAAATTAACAGAAATAGAAATGAAAAGAAAGTAAGCTCAAAAACTTAAATTT